AGATCTTTTCAGCCACTAAAAGCTAACAGTTACTAAAAAGTCTGTAAAAGTATCTTTTCAGCTAGTTGTGCCAAACATACCCGTAACATCTAATTGGTAGAAAGAGCCAGAGGCACAATACCTACTTAAATATAAGAGAAAATTCATTAAATATGACTAAAAAATATATAAAGTGCACAAAGAGGGCTAATGTATTTTTTTCCTAAAATATGACTCATTACTCATAATTGGGAAAATTTAATACTACCTCCGTCCTACTAAGTTTGAGACAATTCGATTTACAATGCTTGACCGACGATAACGCAAACAGATCTCAGTCCACACTCAAATTATTTTTAGAAAAAAATTACATATTCAGAAACTACATTAAAAACTTTGCAAAATCACAAAAATCAGAATCAAATTTGATAAACATTTGATAAGAGATTAAGAGTGATTTGTGTTGACCAAGTGAATATTGTATGTGACAATCTTAGCGGGACGGGAAGAGTACTTTATATAATTATATTGGATCAAACAAGTAAATACGATAAATCAAGTACTTTATGTTGGATCAATCAGAATCAAGTACTTTATGTTGCAATTCTATTTAAAGCAATTTCATTTTTTAAATACGATAGAAATTTCCAATAAACATTTCACGCATTAATATGTTATGAAGGAGGAATTTTCCATTGACATAAAAAAGGGGTCTCTCCTTCTCGAGGGTTTCACTCTACCGCTTTCATTATTGACGAAGAGCGGCCATCGGTCAAATTCGACCATGCAAGCAGGCTCGTGACTAGGGATGCAACGCTTTGGCGGTCGGAGTTCGTCTTTTGCTGTTGTTTCTAGTTGACGGTCGAGGGTAGAGAAAGAAATTAAAATATGGACAAGTTGTGGCGGAGCTTGGGTTCGATTCATCAACAAGGGATATCAATGGAGGCCGTCAGGCTGGATATCGTCAATCAATACAAAAGCATGGCTATGGACCGCAAGAGAGTATAGATTTGGATGAAGATGAATGAAGTCTGTTTGAATTTTGGTTCATTTTGTTTGTGTTTTTGTTTCAAATTACATGCTGTTTTGGATGTGTTCTTATTTCCTAGCAGAAAGATTCTTGAATTTAATTCAGACAGTGAGAAGTCTGATTTGCCTGTCATTGGCTCAGCTAAGCACATTATAAGATCAACGAATCTTATTGTTTCTACATAGGTCATAGATTCTAAGTCTAGTTCAAGGGTGGACAACAGACAAAAGGGTTCTTATCATTTTGTTTCTTGCTTTTTGTCTAATTGTATTGTCAACCAAGTAATGAACTTTTGTTGATTTAATATAATTGTTGGTTTAATGATAAAAAATATGTTTTGGAAAAGGAATGCTAAATTATTATCACGCGCACTAATCGTAATAATAATAGCCAAATTAAGTAATACTGGCATTGTTTTTTTGCCTGAATCTGCTAGATACTTCGTACTGTTCGTAGGAATATACTCCCTCCGTCCCGAAAAGGTTTGCCAAATTGACTTTTTTTGGTCAATGGCGATCAACTTTGACCGATCATATTTTTTAATATGAAATTATTTTAAATATGAAAATTATATCAAAATGTTCCTTATTCTAAATATTTTCACAAAAGCATAAAATTTATAGATTATATACAAATATAGTAATTAAAATCATTGTCCAAAGTTTGCTACTATTGACCAAGAAAAGTCAAAATGAAAAACCTTTTCGGGAAGGAGGTCGTATATAGGATGCTTGTAACCTTTTCTAAATATCTTATTCTTTCATTTTACCTATAAATTGCTACTACCCCCATTTCACTAACGTGACGTGAGGATGTGTCGTGGTTATTAAGAAAATTGTTTTTTATGGTTGATATTAAATTGATAAAGTAAAAATAAAATAAGAATGCTTGAGAATCACACAAAAGTTACTAAATTTGGTATAAAACAAATTTTAGTGAGACTGATCGAAAAAGAATGATGAGACCATTTTAGCCGACCGAAGGCAGTTATATATTACAAATATATTCAAAAGTACAAGTTCATTAAAATAAAAGCGTGGAATAGATTTAGTTTGAGGTGTAGTCTAGTACGGAGTACAGAGTACGAAGTACTCCCTCCGTAACATTCATATCTTCTCACTTTCCTTTTTTGGACGTAACATTTATATCTTCCCATTTCTAAATCTTCCCATCATACCCTCAATAATTTAAAAAATAATACACTACTACACCTACTTTTTTTTGGATTTATCCTTCATTCCATCACATTATTTCACCATCTTCCCATCATACCCTCAATAATTCATACCCCATTTCACTATTCTTAATCTCACCTACTTTGGAAGTGGGAAGATATATGTGATACGGAGGGAGTATGATTTTTCGAAACTTTCAAAGTAGTACGGGGTATCTATTTTTAAATCACTACAATGTGCCGGTGGGCGTAGTTCAACTGATAGATAAGGGTGCCACCGGGGGTACGTCTCGGATTCAAATCCCGACAACTGCGATGAGAGATTATTATGCTAAAAATGTGTAGGGCCTCTACAAGTAACATGACCAGAGTTCCACTCCGTATGTAGTACACTATATTGTAGGTAGGGTATATAATATGTGACGGTGGTGAATGTGAAAAACTCCATTATTAGCCTCTGCCCGATTTAATCACTCAATTTATTTTAAATTTGGTTCATGATCTACCTTCTATTACAATCACTTTATTTTAAATCAGGTTTGTGATCTACCTCAATTAATCCTAATTTTTTAAGAAATTGCTAAGCGGGTGTTTGGAAAATGGCATTTTCAGCCAAAACACGGTGGTTTGTTCCTTTTAGAGTTTTTAATAGGTGAAAACGTTATTTAATAAATTGTTATTTGGCTCTAGTGTTTTTGGACAGAATCGTTGGAATGAAAACGTTCGAAATAGGAGTGCTTTTGATTATCATTTGAAATATGATGTTTTCTAGTGATTGTTATGTTAGATAACTTAGTTATCAAACATTTTTTTGTCAACCCGCCAACTAATCATTCGATCAAACCTCTAATCCATTATACACAACCTGCTAACATAATTCGTCAACCGCTAAATATCAAACATGTCCCAAATTTTATTTTCAAATTTTTCCTTATTTTGGAAAAATTGAAAGTAATCATCCCAACTATTGCCGGTCCGCTGACAATAATTTTAACTATTGACTATTTTTGTATAATCTCAACTATATGGATCATCCGCCAGTAAAGGTCCATGACCAAATATTACCTCCTATAACAAGTGAGTTTTAAATAGAAATTAAGCGTAAAAATTAAAAGTTGGAATTATTTATAGAGATCACTTGCTAAATCTCTTTTCATCCACTTTAGAAACTAAATGAAATTATTTATAAGGATCATTATTGGCGGAAGGTCCCTAAAGTTTGGATTATTTTCAAATAATCGAGTTAGAGTTATCATGAGCGGACCACCAATAGTTGAGATTATTAGTATCAATTTTTCCTTATTTTTACGGATTGAAGAGAACAATTTAAAAAGCAATTTTTTTTCAGAAATAGGTGGCGGACGCGTTTAGAAATCTTGGAATTTGCTCTCTCTGCATTCTGCAAGGATAATAGAGATAGACATGCACTCAGAATACGGAGTACTACGTAGTACTCCACTATTTGTGATCCATTAACTTACTTTAAGACCAGTGTTTAGCAGGTTAAAAAGTTAAAAATGAATTCCGTCCATATGAAAATAGTGTTTAGACTTCTTGTTAAATGTCCCACATCAAAAAAAGTTCGGATGAATGAAGTGCTATATTAACACATGAGCTACTCCTCTTAACAGGATGAACATTTAGGATGGAACCCCATGTCTTTACATGGTATCAGAGCCAAATCGATCCATGATGTGGAACCCCTTATGAATCGTGATGACACGATTATAAAAAAATGACAATTACGACCGGATAAAAAAACGGACCGATGAAAAAAATTGAATGATGGCACGATCCAGGCGAAGTGTCTGGTCGTGAGGAGGGGTGTCAAATGTCTCACACCGGAAAAAGTTTGGATGAACGAAGTGCTATATTAACACATGAGCTACTCCTCTTAACAGGTTGACTATTTAGGATGGAACCCCATGTCTTTACACTCCTATTCTTTGCATCCCAGCACCGTCAATAAAATACATTCAACATATTTTTTCACATATCAATTTAGTAAAACATTAGTTAAATCATCATAAGTAATATTTTCAATTTACTTTTTTCCCTAAATAATTATGAAATAAAAAACACATATTTCGATGTAAAAATAAATCAATTTCATTAATTTTTTTTTACGTTTTTCGGTTAACAAAAAATGAATTTAGTCCAGGTAAAGTTTTATTATGGAATATTCAGTTATGTGTAGAGGCTCCATGAATTAAAAATTTGCGTCTTGTGTTTTTTCAGGCTCAAGAAAATTCCAATAGTTAAAACATAAGATTTTTTTTCATTTTATATATTATATGTTGGTGTCATATGTAAGATAATAAAAATTCGTAAATTTTGATATATTTTTTGAAAATTTTGGATAACAAATAAAAAAGTTATAAGAGTTTTAAAAAATTTGGGATTAGAATGATGCAGAGATGTTATCATCCTCACATTCATACAATGCATTCTTGATCATTCTCTTCCCTATTTCTTTTCTTTTTCTTTTTTCCACTCCTACCAACCCACCCTCTATTTCTAACACCCTCCATCCCCTCTTCCATTTTTAATACTCTACTTAGCCTACCACTACATGAAATTAGGAATCTAAAAGTTCATCTTTAACATTTTGAACTCCTTATACTAGACCACTCTAAAAGTTCATTTTTTTTATACTAGACCACTCCAAATGATTGTTAAAGTGACATGTGCAACTTGTTTCATCCAACACTGTTCAAAAGCACGATAACGACTTAACGTCCCCAATGTATCACATCTTTTGGCCTTCAATTTCTTCCACATTTAAAAGGCCTTCCATAACATTGAGCAGATTACTCCAAATGATACGGCTAACTCTAAGTTAGTTGATGGCATATTGGTTGAGGAAGAGGGTGGATCCGAAACATTAGGCTCGGAGGATACAGCTTCTTATGCTAGCTACAAAGAGGATTTGGGTGAATCTGAAAAAGAACAAGAAGTGAAGAAACCGTGGGTAAACTTGTTTCAAGATAACCGTTCTCTTTCGCATGGAATGAAGTTGGACTACATTCCTCCCAAGGGTGAAGTGGTGGACTTCTCTAATCGTAAGCTTCCTACCCTTATGGAAATCTGGGGTCCTTGCTTAGTTGGCTGCTTTACTGGAAGGTTCCCGGGTATGAAGGCAGTACATGCTCTTATTAACAAATGGGGTGTGAGGTGTAAGGCTAAATCCCATGACAGGGGGTGGGTGATTTTTCACTTCCAAAGTGAGGATGATCGAACCAAGGTCATTTCCGAAGGGCCATACTCTTCATATGGCAAGGCTTTATTTCTTAAAATGCTATCTGAGGATTTTGAGTTTGATGGTGAAGAATTTCTGAAGGTTCCAACTTGGATTAAATTCCCCGGTTTATCGGTCACTCTTTGGAACAAGCCGGAAATCAGTGAACTGGCATCAAGGGTGGGCGTCCCCATCATTGCGGACCAAATCACTCAAAACAAGGCTAGGGCGCAATTTGCACGTGTGCTTGTGGAGGTTGACTCTTCTAAACCTCCGGTTCTTGAGATTCCTATGATACAACCATCGGGTAAAAGGAGGAAGCAGTTTGTGGTATTTGAAACCTACCCAAATTACTGTTATGAATGCAAAAAGTTTGGCCATAACCCATTTGTGTGTAAGGTTCTGCATCCGGAAAAAAAGGGGAATGGTGACAAACACATTGTAATTGCTAAGGAAATGGAGAATCCGAAGAAGGATGAGGCTGCCAAGAATAAAACTGTAGCCATTGTGGAACCGGAGGAACCACCTTTCAAGCTTGTGGTGCCAAGGAAGTGGACTGTCAAACACAAGGAGGTTAAGGCATCTTCGTCAAACACACAAGCTGCCAAGGAACCGAAGACTGCAAAAAAGAAAAACAAGGAACCTGCAACTTCTACTGGAGCGGAACCCTCGGCCAAGGCAGCCCCTATCTCACCTTTTTCAGCTGCAGTTCCCAATGCCACCAAACTGAAGGAAATAGAACCAGCCAAGGCAGATTCTACACCAAGGGAGATGGAGAAGGAAACTGTTCTGCAACCGGCCAACCCGACGGACATAGAGACTGCAGAAACTTCATCCAGGACAAGCAAGCCAAAGGAACCTACATATCCTTTCATCCTTAAAATTGACCGGGAAACCAGGGAGTTTGTGGATGGGATACAAGTTCCGGACAAGGATATTGGAGGCAATATAGTGAGAAGCATATATGAAATGGATGACGAAGATGTGGTGACTAAATGGGAGCTTGATGAAAAGGGAAAAAGGACCGTTTATGTCATGAAGAGGGCCGATCTTCCTCTTAGTCACTTTGAATGTAGAGTTGGTCCGAATTTCAAAGCGGTGTATGGAAAGGAGAATCCAGGGATGAGCTTCACGTTTCAATGCCTAAAGACACTGCCAGGAGCCAAGCGGCATTTTAACTGGTTTAAATTCGAACCCTCTATCTTTATTCCTAATGTTGTTTCTTTCTTTGATGAAAATAGCAATGAAAACAAGACGTATTATAAGGAGATGTTGAGGCGAAAGGCGAGAGAAGAAAAGAAGAAGTTGGCAGGATCGGAGGATTGCCAAACCTCCAATTTGGATGGTCACGGATGATTAAAGCCATTGTGTGGAATGTGAGAGGTTTGCATAAACCCTCCAAGCATACTAGTATTTCTAATATTATTAAAATAAATAATGCGAATTTTTGTTGTCTATTAGAAACTAAAATGACTAAGGACAGTTTTAAAAATTATGTTTCAAATAAATGGCCAGGTTGGCTAAGTGAAAATAATTTTGAAAAAATTAATGGGGGCCGAATGGTTATCCTTTGGAACCCAAATTTTCTACATTGTGTGGTGAGAGAGATTGAAACGCAATATATGCATGTTGAATGTATATGCCGAATTACTCAAACCACTTTTTTTATTACTCTTGATTATCCGTTGTATACGGTGTTGGAGCGTAAGGCTCTTTGGGATTATCTTGTGACGCTAGGTGACCAAATTAGGGAACCTTGGATTGTCGCAGGTGATTTTAACTGTGTATGTGCGCCGAATGAGAGGTTGGGTTCCAACCCACCTACGGCATACATGATGCAACATTTATTTGAATTTAAAGTCCGTGCTAGCTTAGAAGATGCTCCCTCTACAGGAGAATTTTATACTTGGAATAGAGGTACTCTATGAGCTAAGCTAGATCGAGTTCTTTTAAATGATGTTTGGGGACTTAACGGTATTGGTTGTAAGGCCCATTTCAACGAAATGGAGGTGGAGTTTGATCATACGGCTTCCGTTATATCAATACTCCATAATTCCTCATTAAGGTCGAAACCTTTCAAGTTTTTTAATATGTGGATTAAGCATCATGATTTTGCTAATTTAGTGGTGCAGAATTGGAGCATTTTTGTTGATGGTACAGCCCAGTATTCGATTGTGAGGAAGCTCAAGTTGCTCAAAGGGCCACTTAAAAAGCTCAATTCATTGGAATATGGGCATATCTCAACAAAGGCAAAGAAAGCTAAGGAGGATTTTAAAAGATTGAATAAAATGGCGCTTGAATCACCTCTAGATGAGGAGATCAAAGTGCAATTAATGGCGGCTAGGAAAAGGGCAGCATTTCTTGGGGAGGCCGAATCAAGCTTCTACCAACAACGAGCTAAGGCCACTCACATTCTAGAGGCCGATAAAGGCACGAGATACTTTCATGCCATTATGAAGAGGAATATGGCACGAAATGCTATATCATCCATATCCTTGGAAGATGGTAGTGTCACCACTTCTTTGGATCAAGTGGGTGATGAATTTGTAAAGTTTTTTATGGATCTTTTTGGTACCGAGGTGGAAAACCTTGACCTAGACCCGATGGTCTTAGGTCACGGCCCTTTGATGGAACCAAGTGTTCATGATAGCCTACTTGCCCCAATATCGAACAAGGAAATTAAAGATGCCTTGTTTGACATTGGAGATGATAAGGCACCGGGGCCGGATGGATATTCATCGGCTTTCTTTAAGGCGAATTGGAGCCTTATTGGGGATGACATAGTCCAAGCAATTAGGGAATTTTTTCATTCGGGAAAGTTGCTCAAACAAATTAACCATACGGTTATAGCACTTATCCCCAAGACTACTCACTCACCTAAAGTTTCGGACTATAGACCAATATCATGTACAAATGTGTTGTATAAAGTCATTACAAAAATTATAGCGGCAAGATTAAACCCATGTCTCTCGGGTTTAATTAACCAAGCACAAGGTGCTTTCGTAGACGGCCGCCTAATGTTTGATAACATATTCCTTGCCCAGGAACTTGTTAGAGGATACAATAGGAAGCGAATTTCACCAAGATGTATGATTATGGTGGATTTGCGCAAGGCCTATGACACCATTTCGTGGAATTTTCTTGAAAATGTCCTAAAGGGGTTGGGCTTCCCTTCTAGGTTTGTTGGTTGGATAATTGAATGTGTGTCAACAGCTTCCTTCTCGGTTTCCTTGAATGGGTCGTTACATGGTTTTTTCAAAGGAAAAAGAGGCATAAGGCAAGGAGATCCAATGTCTCCATTATTATTTGTCTTATGCCTCGAATATTTTTCCCGGTTGCTCACCATGAGAACCAAGGAGGCAAACTTTAATTACCATCCGCTTTGTGCGTCACTCGGTATTACTCACTTGGCCTATGCAGATGACCTTATGCTCTTTTCGAGGGGTGATACGTATTCTGTAAAAATATTAGTTAACACCCTTAAAGAGTTTGGAGATGTATCGGGCCTTAGAGTAAATCACGGGAAATCGAACATTTTTGTGGGGGGTGTGCGAGACCTTGAATTGCAGAGCTTGTTGGACCTCGTCGACTTTGGGCAAGGGACATTCCCGGTTAGATACCTTGGGATCCCTCTTGCCCCCCTTAGGGTATCAGTTGCCCAATATGCACCGTTACTTGACACGGTCAGTGATTTCTTAAAGGCATGGAATACGAAAACAATATCCTATGCTGGGAAGTTGGAGCTTATCCGCTCGGTGATCCAAGGGGTCCAATCTTTTTGGCTCCAAGTCTTCCCAGTTCCCCAAACGATTTTGGATAGGATAGTTTCCATATGTAGGATTTTCTTATGGGGTGGCAAGTACGTCAAAGTGGCATGGGATGGCATTTGTCTCCCTAAAGAGGAAGGAGGACTTGGCATTCATAATGCTAAGGTTTGGAACGACGCTCTCCTTTCTCGCACACTTTGGGACCTACATAAGAAGAAGGATACCCTTTGGGTTAGGTGGGTTAATGGCGTTTACCTTAAGGGTAAAAGTGTGTGGGAATTCGTCCCACACGGCCGTGACTCACAATTCTTGAAGAGGTTATACCAAATACGTAATAAAATACGTGAGTGTTTTAATAATTTGAACGAAACCATTATGGGCCTTAACGCTAGATCCATTAATGGCAAACTGATTCCGGCCAAGATCTATGAGCTTTTGAGAGTTAAGGGGACTGTTAGGACCCCAATGAGCTTCATTTGGAAATCCTACATTCCACCTAAAATCTCTTTTAATGTTTGGTTGGCACTACGAAATAGGCTACCCACTCAGGATAGCCTCGGGTACCTCCATATTGTGAATCGTTGTGACCTATGCAAGGGTGGATTGGAAACAATTCCACACCTATTTTTTGTTTGCCCATTCACGTGTAGGGTGTGGGAGAGGATCAAAAGCTGGATGGGATTTGGGCATCAAATGAATACATTGCTTAGTGCGATCAAGTGGATTTCGAAGAGCCGCAAAGGAGCAAACTTGAAGGCAAAGGCAGCCCGGCTAGCCTTCTGTGCCACGACATACTATATATGGCATGCGAGGAACTCTGTTAGATTTGATGAAGGAAAAAATTCGGAAGATGATGTTGTTGCAAAGGTCAAGCATATGGTTTACAAGATACTCTATTGTATCTACCCATATGAGATGATCAACCTTTGAGAAGATTCATGTTTTTTTTTTTAATGCCACGGCATTAGACAGCTTGTAATTTTTTGGGTTGCATGTATTGGCTATTTTGGATTTAGACTAGACTAAAAGCCTCTCCTAACCCTCTCCTTTTCTCACGAAATAGGAGAGGGTGGGGGTTTTAGACTTTAGATTTTTTGACACATTGTACTTGTTAAATTTTGCTTGGGTGTTAATATATATTTACATTTCATCCAAAAAAAAAAAAAATAACATTGAGCAGATGGAATATTGTTGAAATTAGGGAACATTATAATTTGATTCTTGCATTATTTGGAAAACGTGAATTACATACTCATAATTTTTCAAAAATAATCAAATCCTCTATTTTTGCAAGAACTTTTAATTGTGTCAAACAACAAGTTACCCGTCACGTCAGCAAGTCACATGTGATGTGGCAGTCACCAGTGATTTTGCTGGCGTGACGCACATGTGGAAGATCGGTTAGTCATTTCCCGATAACGTGGCACACACGTGGGCCGCCATGTGTGTGACATGTCAACTGGGTGACATGCTGAAATGATAGGTGATCTGCCTATTGACTCAATTGAACGTGACGTTTTTCCAAAATTTAGGGATTTAATTGATTTTATTTCAAATATGAGGACTTAATTGACATTTCTGTGATAGTACGATGACCAAATTGATAATTTTTCCTTGAGATTAAGACAGAGTAAAATAATTTGGCGTTTTCTTATAAAAATTGTCAATAATATTCTAAAAGAGAAAAAAGTGCCTTAGAAACTACACTTTCAATAATATGACTCGTAGTAAGACTATCATGTTTAGAGTATACTATATTTGACATGCAAAAAATAGGAAGGGAAATCTCACTTTTGGTTCCTCAATTAGTCACCATATTGAAATGTCAGATCTATATTTCTGAGATTTTAAATGTCACCCTTAATTGACGGATGGGTTGTAAATGTCATCCCTATTGAATTTATTGGTGGAGATGACATTTACAACAGATCCATCAATTGGAGGTGATATTTTCGATCTAAGAAACACGTGTCTGACATGTCTATATGGTAAAAGATTGAGAGATCAAAAGTGCAATTATATCAAATAAGAAATATTAACTCTCAATATAATAATTGTGGTAATAACACACCCAATATTTAGGGGCGTTAGTTGCAAATTAGTGTAATGCTATAGGTACCCCAAGTTTACCCCATTTCCTACCCCATATAAATACCCCATTTTTACCATCCTTTTTACCCCTTTCCAAAAATACTTTTCTCTCACCTCTCTCACCTCTCCCCAACCCACTCCTCAACTTTCCGCCAAAACACATCTCCTCCTTCAAAACTTGCTATAGTGCTCAACCCATCCTCTCACCTCCTTCTTTCTTTCATCTTCTTGGATGGATATATGGGGAAGGAAGTATCCGAGTTTAGCGATGAGGTTGTTTAGGATGGCTTGACATGGGAAGATGAAGGTCACAAGCTTGATGACGTGGGTGAAGGTGGAAATCTGCCATCTCCGGTCGCTGTTGAAGTAGCGACGACTTCAAGGGAAGAAGATGATGAAGGTGTGGATGTTGAAGTCTTGGAGAAGAGTATGTTGTTTTTCGTCATTTGTTTGTATTTTGTTTGGCGGACAGACATTTTGGAACTGCAGTGTCTGTCTAGCCTAAAGTGAAAGCGGTTTCATAGTTGTTTGAAGTGAAGATGGTTTTATATGAGTTAGAGTCGTACATAAAATGTGTGTGTGACCAGACAACTTTTATGTATGATATAAAAGTGAATAATTGATTAGATTGTTTCATTGTAATGATTTTGAGGTGTTAATTAATTAAAATTTTAGTGTAATTTCTTTAATTCATTTTATGCCCACAACATGTTTGTAGAAATTACTCAATGAAGTTTTTGTTGAAATTCAAGACTTTTTTCCATTCTTTCCTTGATCTTCTTGGATGGATATCATGGGAAAGGAAGCATCCTACTTTAGTGATGAGATTCTTTTGGATGGCTTAACATGGGGAGATGAAGGTGACAAGGTTGATTAACTACTCTCTGTCTTACAGCCAGACAAATTTTGTCTGGGCCAGACATTAGTAGTCTGTGCCAATTAACTACTCTCTGTCTTACAACCAGACAAATTTTGTCTGGGCCAGGCATTAGTAGTCTGTGCCAATTAACTACTCTCTGTCTTACAGCCAGACAAATATTGTCTGGGCCAGACATTAGTAGTCTGGGCCAATTAAATACTCTCTGTCTCACGGCCCGACAAAAGTTGGTTGTGCTAGACAATAGATGTCTCTTCCAGACAAATTGATTATGCCTCACATATGTTATTTGTACCAAATATGTGTTCTGACTATGTGTTGTGTATTAATCGTAGGTATTCACTTCAAGATGGCGAATGACTTAAAATGTAAGGCTGAAAAAGAGTTCCAAGCGGACGCTAATTCATTTAAAAAAATGATACCATGTGTGACTTCTTTTGCAATGGAGAAACAAATGCAAGGATTATATAAACTAGTCTTGAAGAATGCTGAAGTATAGAGTGTTGGGAAAATGTGTCCATTTTGAACTTGTGAATTTTTGAACATGTATTTTTTTCATTTTACAGTTGGGAAAATGTGTTGAATATTGTACTATGTTACATGTTCAATGTTGAACAATGGGATTCAGTTTTTTGAACATGTGTAAGTTTTTGCAAACATTACATGTACAATCATCCACTTATGTATGTTGACCTTTTGTTTGTCTGGGTATCTGTGGTATGGTCTGTATGTGTAAAGTTATTGTCTTTCTGCGTGAAAGTAATGTCTGTCTGGTTATCTCTGTTGTTTGTCTATTCAACGGTTATCTCTGTACATTAACAAATACAATCATATCTCCAAACACTTTTATATAACCACATTAACAATTACTAAACTAATCAAAATGTACTATAAAATACAGTTTTACTAAACTCATCAAAACAACCCACAAAAACACATTCCCTCATTAGTAACAATTCTTATGCTTCCTCCACCTTCTCCAATCGCCACAAACGAACGACGTATTGACATCTCTTGCTCCACGTGTTTGCGTACTCACAACCTAGAATCAATGGCTTTCCCATTAACAGGTGCTCTGCAAAGGAATCCACAATCACTCCACATTCTCCCGACCTGTAGACAGACAACTCAGAAGAAAGGCCAGACATTTTATATCACATTACAGACAATTCAAATGGAATGCCAGACAACTCTTTTCACTTCACAAACAACTACAAACCAATTTTCAACATCTGAAGAGAGACATCACAAAAGTCATCACACATACTATAAAGAAATAATCACACAAATATGACCAAAATAAAGATGATTTATAAAAATATGATTATTGGCTAGAGTAGTAATGAAATCATAGTAGTTCATATTCAAGTTTTGAGCTTAAGTTACTACAACACCACATTGTAGTAATGAAAAATCATATTTATGTAAATATGTTTTATTTTAGTAATATTCTTGTAAAAACCCTACTATAAAATACATTTGTAAAATAAGAAGATGTGCATACATACACTCAAACAAATAAATTTGTCTGTCCGGACAGACATCTTATGTAAGACTATACCAATTGTGAAACAATGCTCAGCTAGACAAACACTGCAATTCAAATTTGTCTGTCAGACAGACAACCGTTTTTCATGTGTAGTTGGACGAAAAAATACCAAAAAATGAGGAAAAGGACCATCTCAAGTCTTTCAAGACCATCTCACCTTCGTCATCAACCTCGTTTGGGGAGGTGCAGTCGGACGGGAACTGCCTCTTCACTGCCTCGGAGCTTGAAACCAAGTGTGAGGTTGGTTGGTTCGTGGGGGTGGGTCAAGGGGTGAGGACAGCTTTTTGTCGTTGTTAAACTCCTCGTCGTTCGTCAATGTCTAAGGGTGAGGACGGACGGCGGTTCGGTTGGTTCATGAGGGTGAGGAAGGCGGTTGGTTTGTGGGGTTCGGTTGGTTGGTGGGGGTGAGGACGACGGCTGTGGCGGATGGGTTTGGAGTTTTACGAAACTTGCTGGGGAAGGGAAAATGTGGGAGGGGAGGAAGATTTGGAAATGGAGGTGAGGGGGAGCTTGGGGGCGGGTGAGGAAGGGGAGGGGTAAATTTTTTGGAAGGGCTTTTATATGAGGTACAAATTGGGGTAAAGTTGGGGTACTTGTAGCATTTTTGTGCAAATTAAGTTTATTTTTTAACATCATATTGAGTGGTAGAAAGTTAATATAGACACTGAAAATATGTAGTAGACTAGTAGTCATTGAAAAGTATGTAGTCACTGACGAGAGTATTTAGAGTGCGTGTAGTAGTCATTGAAAAGTATTCGTGTGGCTTTGAAGTGAGAAATACCTAGAGTGTAGTCACTATCATTTTTGAGTATATCCTAGCTTATCTCTATTTATGTACTCCCTCCGTCCCATTTAAAGGTTCCTGTACACTATTCTCCGGTCAACGTGCATTGCTCTTAATCTTTTACTTTATATATCGAAAGTTTATAAAATCTAAATTATTTTTTGTAGGTTTTGTAGCGGTTGTAATGTAGTTTTTGAATATGTAAATTTTATTTTCTAAAATAATTCTATTAATGATATGGATCAGTTAACTTTATGGTCAGTCAAACATCGTAAATCGTGTGGGAACCTTAAAGTGGGACGAAGGGAGTATCTTTTTTATCTTTTTTATTTATTTATTTATTTATTTATCAGGTCTTATCTTTTTCTTTTGAATCCGACATTGTGTATGAATTTATGTTAGCTGACTCCAAACTTTTGAAATTAAGGATTGACAATCACCAAAAAAGTTATGAATTTATGTCACTTTTGATCCAAAATTTATGTTAGCTGACTCTGATATTGGTGTTGTCGTTGTTGTAGTCACCAAAAAAATATGCCGTATTCATTGAAAAGTATGTGATGATTGAATCCTAATAAGATTTTTTTCATCTTATTGAATCCCAATAAGATGAAAATATATAGTGAATTATATTTATTATAGTAGAAAAATAATGGTAGAAGATAGATATCACTACATTGAAATATACTAGTACAACATATAAGAAAAGACCAGATTGATTGAGAGGAAGAATAGGGGTATCATATATAAAAGCTAAAAAAAGTTAAAATATTGTATGTCATAACAGCTAAAAAAAGTGTTTGTCAACCAACCATGAGGTGCTTTTATTTATAAGCATTTAGCTTTTACAAATGAATGCATCATAATTATAAAGGGTAAAATGCGCCAAACGCCCCAATGGTATATAAATCATGCACACTATCCCTTGTGCTTTCAAAAATACACCAAATACATTTGTGTTTTGTAAAATCTTGTACAAATCCCTAAAAGAGGTGAGTTTAATGTGTATCACACTTGCTTTTTGGTGCGATTTGTAATCTAATTTAAGCTTCTTGAGCTAAGTAAATGTCAAATTTACCTTTTTGCATGAAATAGAGAGCTCTCATTTTTTTTTCATACTCCCTCCATTTCACAATCAAAGTCACAGTTAATTTGGCTTCTCAAGGATTAAGGAAACAAACTGACTTTGTTGTAGAGTACACTGTTTAAACACTGTTTGGCACTGTTTCGTACTGTTTTGATGTAAATTTCTTTGCCAAATAAGGAAATAAGGGAAGTGTGACTTTGTTTTTGAAACATCCAAAAAAAAGAAAATGTGACTTGATTGTGAAACAGAGGGAGTATATTGTAATGTACGTAGTATGAAAGAGCAGCAAGAAATTAAACCTGGGATGCAAGCAACCATTTTTTGGTGCCTCAAGACTACTACGAACAATAGTATGAGCAACACAAAAGACTAAACATCAGAAAATATCAATACTAAAATCAAGAACAACAACATCCAAGCCTTAGTCCCAAAAGAAATACTAAAATCATGAAATTAAAAAAAAAAAAACTATATACCTGGGAGCTCATTAAATCAAGAGAAAATCACACTTTTAGTCCTTGAAATAGTCACCATATTGAAATGTCAGACCCATGTTTCCTAGTTTGTAAATGTCACCCCTCAATCGTCCAAATTGATGTAAATGTGGTCCTTTGAGGGATGAAACGTACAATGTGGGCGAGGAACACATTTCACCCCTCAAAGGACAACATTTATAGCAATTTGAAAATTTGAGGGGTGACATTTACAATCTCAGAAATATGGATCTGACATTTCAAAATAGTGACTATTTCAGGGACTAAAAATACGATTTTTCCTTAAATCAATACAAAAACACTGTTTTACACAAGTTTAAGGTTTTTGAAAAAGTATTATTATCCAACCCATATAGTTATACATTCATACAAAATCACGACAAAAATCATCAATTGTTATTCAACCAACCCATATAGTATTATTAAGCTTATCATAGGTGGAACCTATTTTATGGTATTTGAAGCTTTTCCTTTTGCTAAGTTTTTGTTAAGAATACAAACTTGTTGAGTTGGATTGAAACCTTCTGATCCTAGCATATATCCTTTGACCTAATAAACAATAATAAATTAAAAAAGTTTCTTGCGAAGGTGTACTTTAAACACATTAGTTAAAAAAAAAAGTGAAATTAAAGATCTTGACTAATTAGAACGAATTTGGAATCTTTGAGTATCAAAGTTTGACACCATCTCAAAAAACATGTCACGATCCTCCTGTTCACCCGTTCAGGGGTTGAATCTAGTGTCGAAGGCCGCAGTTGATCTAGTCCTCTAGCTTCGTTTGGAGTTTATTTCAGTGGATTTTAGTGCTGATTTTTTTGGGGCAAGTTTGTTAATTATGTCCAAGAGTTCCGCACATTTTACATGTATGTGTTAGTCCTCTTCTTGAAGCTTTTGACAGGTTAATGTCATTGCCATCAACTCTTCTTTTCTTCTTTGGCCTACCTCTAGCTTCTCAATTTAACATTAGGTGCCGCAACCTCACCCTTTCCAGTTTCCACCATCTTCAAACTCGTGCATACCCAGAACAGTATGAATCATGTGTTGATAAACTCTCAAATACATATCCTTCTTGAAGTAGTCATGGTTGTAGTCTTCAACATTGAGCCTATGAGAGGAAATGCAGGCTAAAGCATGGCAACAAGGATAACCACATAACTGGAAAAACCCGCACGGGCATAATTGCTCTTTAAGATGAATAATGTGATTTTCCTTTTAATATTGCACCTCAAATGTGTCATTGCCTGCCCAAGAAGGATAACAATGCCTATTTCGTTGTCAACATACACTTCATTTACATTGCTTGGCTCAACTCCTGGAGGCATCTGTGTTGTTTTTCTACAACACATACAAAAAGAAAAGAGTTCAATTACCAAAATATAAAGAACATTTATCCATTTTTGTTTCTCATAGATTTCAACTATTACTTTTCATTTAAAAAGGTTATATTACAACACATCAAGTATTTATGATTTGAGATTTGTGAATCTCAATGTTTTTAAATTAAGTGAGAATTATTGAACCACTAATTTTTTTTGTCTAGTGAGCATCAACTTTATTAGAAATAAATAAAAATAGAACTAGTGAATTCAAATTTAGTATAATGTACTCAACTAGAATGTATTTATAATAAACATAACTAGTGAACCAAGTTTTTTGTTGAGTGAATCTCAAATTTGAGTACGTAGCATCAACTTCATTTAAAAAATCACAAATTAGAAACATGAGCTGAAATACACTAATAAAAATTTAGTAAAATTGGAAGTTCGAACCAGTATAATCTAACTTTGGAAT